AGGCAACCCCAAAGAAAAAGCCACAGTGAAAGAAATCATTTCTGAAAAGTTCCCAGAGTTAAAGAATGCAGACATCCAGATCCAAGGAGCTAGAAGGGTGACAGATAAAATAGATCCTAATAAAAAACTCCAAATATATCATAGTCAGCATGGTGGATGCCGTGGATAGAGACACAATAATGCAAGCAGCAAGGTCAAAGAAGGAAATCACATACAAAGGAGCATCCCTGAGATTTACAGCAGACCTATCAGAGGAAACCCTCCAAGCCTGAAGACAATGGTGAGATGTAGTGAAAAAACTCAATGAAATGGACGCTTCACCAAGAATACATTATCCAGCTAAACTCTCACTCAAACTCAATGAACAATACACCATTTTATAGATAAACAACAGCTCAGGAACTTCATAGAAGGACTAAGAGGGCTCCTGCAAGAGAAGAAGAAAAACACCTATAAATGCAACCAACCCCTACAGAAAGATGGTACTAAACCCCATGACAATAATCTCTCTCAATGTCAATGGTCTAAATGCATCAATCAAGAGACACAGAGTGGCGAAATGAAGCCAGAAAATGAAACCAACATTCTGCTGTCTACAAGAAACACAAATGAAGAGTCAGAGCAAACACAGACTCAAAGTTAAAGAATGGAAAGCAATCCTGCAAGCAAACAGCTCCCTCAGAAAAGCTGGGGTGGTCATACTAGTATCCAACAACATAAATTTCAGGTTGAAAAAGATTAGAAGGGACAGCCAAAGCCATTTTCTATTTATCAAGGGATATGTACAACAGGAAGAAATCACACTCTTAAATGTATATGCACCGAATGCGGGAACAGCTAAATACTTAAAACAACTGCTAACAGATTTTAAGGAGGACATTGCTAGCAATACAATCGTACTCGAAGACTTCAATCCCACCTTATCACCTCTGGATATATCAACAAGAACAAAACTCAGCAAGGAAACATTGACTTTGAAGGAAAAATAGAAGAGAGAGAGAGAGGGAGGGAGGGAGAGAGAGAGAGAGAGAGAGAGAGCTAATAGGCTAATAGAGCAATACAGGGCTTTACACCCCCAAAAGAAAGAATACATTCTTTTCCAGTGCACACGGAACATTTTCCAAAATAAACCACGTGCTAGGTCACAAAACATACCTCAATAGAATCAGGAAGATAGAAATAGTATCAATAATCTTTTCAGACCACAATGCACTGAAGATAGAAGCTAATCAGACAGACATGGAGAACCAAATCAAACACCTGGAAATTAAACAACTTAAGACTGAATAATAATAGTGGGTCAGGAAGAAAGTCAAGGAAGAAATCAAAAGATACATGAAAACAAATGAGAATGAAGACACGAGCTACCAGGACCTATGGGACACAGCTAAAGCTGTGTTAAGAGGAAAATTTATATCTTTGCAAGCATTCTTCAGCAAAGAAGAAAGGGCCTACATAGATAACTTGATTTCACAGCTCATGATCTTAGAAAAAGACCAACAAAAGGAACCCAAATCCAGCCGAAGGAAAGAAATAATAAAACTTAGAACAGAAATTAATGACATGGAAACCCAAAAAACAATCCAAAAGGTCAGTGAAACCAAGAGCTGGTTCTTTGAGAAAATAAAACAAGATAGATAAACCACTAGCAAGACTCAACAAAGAAAGAGAGAGAGAACACTAATAAACTGAATCAGAAATGAAAAAGGGGACATCACAAGAGAAACCAATGAATTTCAAAAGATCATCAGAGACTACTTTGAGAGTCTGTATGCCATGAAACAAGAGAACCTAGAAGAAATGGATAAATCCCTGGCTTCCTATAATCTCCCAAGGCTGAATCAAGAAGATCTAGAATACCTGAATAGTTCTATTAATATCAAAGAACTTGAAACTGTAATCAAAATTCTTCCCCAAAACAAAAGCCCAGGTCCAGACAGATTCACTAGCGAATTTTTCCAAACATTTAAAGAGGACCTGATGCTAGTTCTCCTCAAGCTTTTCCAGGATATTGAAAAATCAGGAACTCTCCCAAACAGTTTTTATGAGGCACATATCTCCCTAATACCTAAAGCAAACAAAGACACCACAAAAAAAGAAAACTATAGACTAATATCCCTGACGAACATGGATGTGAGGATCCTCAACAAAATATTAGCAACTAGAATCCAACAACTCATCAAAAAGATCATACAACACGACCAAGTGGGATTCATCCCAGGGATGCAAGGATGGTTTAACATTTAGAAATCAATCAACATAATCCATCATATCCACAAAAGTAAAGATAAAAGATACGATCATATCAATAGATGCAGAGAAAACATTTGACAAGATCCAGAACCCGTTTATGATAAAAACTCTCACCAAACTGGGTTCAGAAGGAAACTTCCTCAATATAGGCAAAGCCATATACAAGAAACCTACGGCAAGCATTAACCTCAATGGGGAACTAAGAGCCTTCCCTCTAAGATCAGGGACAAGACAAGGACACCCACTCTTACCACTTCTGTTCAATATAGTACTAGAAAGGCTTGCAATAGCGGTAGGCAAGTAAAAGATATTAAGGGTATCCGGATAGGAAAGGAAGAAATGAAGCTCTCACTATTTGCATATAATATGTTTCTATATCTCGAGAATCCTAAATCCTCTACCAAGAAACTCATAGAAACAATAGACTTGTACAGTAAAGTCGCAGGCTATAAAATTAATACCCAAAAATCCATGGTCTTCCTATATGCAAATAATGAGAGAGAGGAAAGTGACATGAAACATGAAAAAAACAATCCCGTTCACAATCATGCCCCAGAAAAATGAAGTACCTCAGAATCAGCCTAACTAAAGAGGTAAAGGACCTTTACAATGAAAACTATAAAATGCTACTCTATGAAATAAAAAAGGACATGAGGAAATGGAAACATCCCCAGCTCATGGATAGGAAGAATTAACGTTGTCAAAATGGCAATACTCCCCAAAGCATTAAACAGATTCAATGTGGTTCCTATAACGATACCCATGAAATTCTTCGAAGAAATGGATCAAGCACTCCTGAATTTCATATGGGACAACAAACGCCCACAAATAGCTAAAGCAATTCTTGGGAAAAAGATGTCGGGTGGCATTACCCTCCCCAATCTCACTCTATTACAAAGCAGTAATAATTAAAACAGCATGGTAAGGAACAAAGGCAGAGCCGCAGACCAATGGAACAGGATGGAATATCCTTACACACCGCCCCAAATATATGAACATATAATCTTTGACAAAGGAGCAAGAAATGTGACGTGAAACAAGGAAAGCCTCTTTAACAAATGGTGCTGGCATAACTGGACAATCACATGCAAAAAATGGACATAGCCCTCGACCTAACACCATGCACAAAAATCAGATCAAAATGGATTAAAGATCTCAACATCAGGCCAGAATCCATAAGATATATTGAAGACAAGGTCAGCAAAACCCTCCATAATATCGAGGCTAACAGTATCTTCAAAGATGACACTCCACTGACCAACCAAGTGGAAACAGAGATAAACAAACGGGACTATCTTAAACTAAGAAGCTTCTGCACTGCAAAAGATACAGTGACCAAAATACAAAGACAATCTACAGAATGGGAAAGGATATTCACCCAATATCCATCGGACAAGGGGTTGATATTAATATATTTAAGGCACTGGTTGAACTCTGCAAGAAAAAAAATCCAACCCCATTAGAAAATGGGGTGATGAAATTAATAGAAACTTTCTCAAAGAAAAATATGAATGGCAAAAAGGCACATGAAAAAATGCTCTTCATCACTAATCGTCAGGGAGATTCAGATCAAAACAACTATGAGATGCCACCTCACACCACAGAGACTGGCACACATCCAAAAGAAGAAAAGCAACCTGTGTTGGCATGGATGTGGGGAGAAGGGAACCCTCCTACACTGCTGGTGTTAATTCAGACTGGTTCAGCCATTCTGGAAAACAGTATGGATGATTCTCAAAAAATTAGAAATTGAGCTCCCATTTGACCCAGCAATACCACTCCTGGGAATATATCCCAGAGAGGCAAAAAAGAATAGTTGAAGTGACATCTATACTTGTTTGTTCATTGCCACACTCTTTACCATAGCTTGAGTCTGGAAAAAACAGAATGGCCCAAGAACAGATGACTGGTTAAAGAAACTTTGGTACATGTACACAGTGGAATACTATGCAGCTGTTAAAAAGATGAAGTCATGAAATTTACGTACAAGTGGTTCTACATGGAAAATAACATGCTATGTTAAAGAGTCAGAAAGAGAGGGACAGACATAGAAAGATTGAATTCATCTGTGGAATATAAAGTAACAGAATAGGAGACTAAAACTCAAGAATAGTTGAGATAAGTACCAGGAGCTTCGCTCCATGTCTTGGAGGCCAGCCGCACATTCTGGTGGGAAAGGCAGCTCAGGTAGAGAAGGGAACACCAAGTAAAAGGTGTTGGGAGGATCCACCCAGGATGGGAGATGAATGCTGAAAGTAGACTGTAGATTGAACATGATTGCCACTCAATACCTCTATTTCACTCCACAACACCCAAAAGAGAGAACAAAAGGCAATGCCCTGCCACAGAAGCAGGGTAGGATGGGGGGAATGGGGTGGTGGTGGGAGGGATACTGGGATCATTGGTGGTGGAAAATGGGCACTAGTGGAGGGATGGGTATTTGAACATTGTATAATCAAAACCCAAGCACAAACATTTGTAAGACTACAACTGTATCTCACAGTGTTTCACTAATAAAAATTTTAAAAAATTTAAAAAGGAAACAAAAAATGTACTATATAGATCAGTGTGAATTTTTTACAAGGGGGAAAAGAAGAGCAAATGTTAAACATGTATTTTGCTATGGAAAACTCTGATGCAGACAAGAAAGTACCATCAATTATATGAAAGGAACTTTATACCAATACAATCTGGATGATGTAATAGAACATACAAGCAACATGTTTACCTGGATAAAGAATACTTACCGGGGAAAACCACATCACTTTAAGTATCCAAATTGTAAGGGCAAAATTTACAAGGAGAATGATAAGTAGGAGAAGGACGAACAGGTAGAGGCAACGCTTCCTCCAGCCATAAATGCCAATTTTGTACACATACTGGTTCTCTGGCCTTTCTACGTGGGTACCTTCTGTGGCTGTAGTGTACTGTTCTAGTACCATCTATCACAGAAGAAGGATTTGGGGATGAGAAGGGTGAAAGTGAGGGAGGGGGTGAGAGAGGAAGGACACAGTTAGAAGAGATCAGAAGAGCACTTATTTTTTCAGTACTGACATACTGTGAGTCTAATAAAATAAAATATGTATTTTACTCTAATAATATATTTTCAGTTAAAAAATTAAATATTGCTTTGACAGTGAAGCAGTAATAATAATGATAATTAGTTATTCAAAATATTTTACATGTCATTTAAAACACAGTGACCATATTTTCAGATTCCAGTACTCCAGTGAATGAACAAGTTCTTAAAGATTCAGAGGGCAGAAAATTAAGCTGACACTTGCATAGATTTTAAAAAATAGAATCGAATTACTCAATTTAATGTGAAGTAACTAAATAACATATTTCATTGGCTACTAAATTATCTAATTAAAAACTTTACTATCACACTAGCTTTTGCCTTAAAATAAATCCACAAATATTGATCCTTTTAGGAAAGATCAGAAAATAGACACAAATTTTACAGTTATTCAGTTTTATGCAGATTAGAGTAGGAGTGTATAACAATTTCAAATCTATGAAGAATTTTTTTTTCTTTTTTGGATCACACCCGGCATTTCACAGGGGTTACTCCTGGCTCATGCACTCAGAAATTACTCCTGGCGGTGCTCGGGTAACCATATGGGGTGCTGGGAATCGAACCCAAGTTCGCCGTGTGTAGGGCAAACGCCATACCCGCTGTGCTATCACTCCAGCCCTGAAGAAATTTTTTTAAATGGTTGTTTTTTCCTTTATGCAATGAAGAAAAGAAAGTAATTATAATATTAGATATTATGAATAGATCTGACTATAAATAGAAATGATGAACTAGAATATAAAATAATCTCTGGAAGTCTATTCCAAAGAAATTAAATGAATATATATGTAAATATGTTTGAGTAAGCATTATCTTTAATGACTAAAAGTTGAAAACCATGAAGAAATAAATTTTAGGCCCCCCATGAGCGGCTTTCCGGCATGGCCATGGCTTCAGAGGCAAAAGGACTTAATCCAGAACCCGGCAGTTTGCAGCAGAAAAGGGAATAAACTATGCGTTAAACTACGGTGCCATGCCTCCTGAGGAGGGAAAGGGTGTTGCTCCCTTCCGCCTTCTTCCCCACCCCACCAACCACCCTCCCCCAGCAGCAAGGTGTTCGTTCGCAGCCTCAGAGCTTAGGTTCTCATAACCAGCTATAGATAACAAATTATTTCACAATGCCTTTTCAGCAATTCTTATTGTTGGGGGGGAAATTCTAAACAATAATGGTGCATCTTTTATCGAAATAATGAATGTAATCAAAGTAGAGAGAGAGTTATGTAGAAATCATCTGCCTCACAGGCATTGGGAGGGGTGGGAGGGGGGTATATTGATGGTGAAAAATAAGTACTGGTGAAGGGAAAGGTGCTTGATCATTGTATGACTGAGACTTAATCTTGAAAGCTTTGTAACTTTTCCCACAGTGATTCAATAAATAAATATTAGGCCCTCCCGTTGATCGTCGATTTGCTCGAGTGGGCCCAGTAACGTCTCTATTGGAGACTTTGTTGTTACTGTGTTTGGCATATCGAATACATCACGGGGAGCTTGCCAGGCTCTGCCGTGCGGGTGAGATACTCTCGGTAGCTTGCCGGGCTCTAAAGAGAAAAAAAAGAAAGAAATTTTAGAGTAGTCAATTAAAAAAAAAGACTAGTCAATTTGTTAGATTATGAAGTAGAGTTAAATGTTTGAAAGCAAATAATATACAGAAAATGCTAAGTATAGACTTAAATGAAAAATAAATGATAAAATATACATTAAATTACATATTATGAAAAGACTATAAAATGGTAAGTGAATAATTTCCACTTTAAAGTCTGTCTTTTCATTAAAAATATAATTTTCAAAAATTTAACATATTTATGTGTAATATATATTCAGCTCATATGTGTACATCTATATTAGCAAAATTAATAAATGTACCATACTTCTCATAAATTTATAGCTACATATTAAGAATACCAAATATTTCTGTTTTACTTTTAATTGAAATTGTTCAGCATGGTACACTTACTCAAAGCAAAGTATAAATGACATAATTAACAGTTTGACCTAAAGTCACTAAATTATTACTAATTTTACTACTTGTGTATTAGTATCATCACATATGACCTTATTATAAATATACATGAATGCAAGACTGCAAGGATGCATGCAGGCACACATACAGATCAAAAGGTTATCACTTGTTCTCACTTCTTTAGAGTAAGATTGACTTTTAAAATGAAATGACAAACATTGCCATTTTTAAAAAGTTCCTTACAAAATACACCAAATCAGGAGAATAAATGGCTTCATGTAGTAAGAAGATCTGAAAGGTGTCGGGGAACCTTTCAATAAATGAACAAGTGGAAAAAAGCAAGATGAAAACCTCAAACTCAGTAGGACATAAATGTTAATTTATGACTGTGGTATTAAAGTTTCATTTTGCACTTCATACGTAGACTTATTTTTAAACTATCAAATCAAAGGTAAGCAAACCGTGTGTGTGTGTATGTGTGTGTGTGTGTGTGTGTGTGTGTGTGTGTGTGTGTGTTTTAGCCTTGGATTTTCGTAAACAGTTTTGAAGCTTTTACTTTTGCATCATTATGTAGTATCTGATTAATGGGTGATAAGAACATCCAGAAATTGAAGTTGGCATGAAGTTGCACAGAACAGTATTTAAGTCAATTACAAGTAGAGAATCACAACAAAAACTGTCATTCCTAGCTAAAAACCTAGTCTTTTAATCAAAACCAGGTGTGTTTTGATAGCAAACATACTCCACTTCTTGGCATCATTTATACCTACCATCAACTTCTAACTTGGTGCACATCCACAAAATAGATGATGAAATAACTCATTTTTTTAAAAAAATGCACTTCATAACAAGTGCATTTTGAGAAAGCAAAGCTAGGTATACTTCTATACTTCTGTATTGCATTACTGTGGCACTTACCAATTCCTTCTATGTCAATTTAGTGTCAACAATAGACCCTCTGCATCACCCTGCAATAGTACCCACTATTCACACTGTGTCTATTCAGTTTTACCTAATGGTTCTTTTTATATCACATTACACTTGGCACCTACTGATTCATTTTGTGTTATACTATAATGAGAACCCAACAACTCTTTGTTTAAACTTTCTTGGGTCCCTTGGGCTTGCAACCAAAAGAGCCTTAAATAGCACATATATTAACACATGTAAAATTTTAACATTATTTTATTGTGTGGGGAGCGGGGCTGGTTCACACCAGGAGGTGTTCAGAGCTTGCTCAAAGCTCTGTGACTATGGATCACTCCTGGCAGGGTTCAGGAGACCATATGTGGTGCTGGAAATAGAAACTGGATTGGCTACAGGAAAGAACAGGACCTTACCAACCTTTTAATGCTTTGGACCTGAAGAGATGTAAATCTTAACTTTTACAATGAGGCACTCTTACAATAGCCAGAACTCTTACAACAATGAACAAATAACTATGAAAAAAATTGATGTTTTTTAATGTTTTTGACCCAGTTCCTTTTGTGGTCAAATATTCCTCTAAAAACAATTTTCCAGATAGAAATATTTTTCCTGTAAAATATATATATATCTTTATCTCTTGCTGTCAGTGAGATCACAATGTATTTGGATGTAGGTCACGTGATCTGCAGTTCTAGGCAAATAAGACTCATTTATTTCATATAATTTGTTCCATTGGTGGAAATAATTGACTGTTCCCTGTTTGAAAATTTTCAATTCTTGTCTTCTTTTGCTTCTCTTTTCTTTTTACTTTTTCTTCTTTTTTTCCTTTAGGGTTTTGAGTCACAGCTGGTGGGACTCAAGGCTTACTCCTGGCTCTCTACCCATGGCTCCTAGCAGTGGACAAGATGGGATGGTGGGTGTCAAACCCAGGTCAGCAGCATTCATGGCAAATGCCCTACATGTTGTAATGTCACTCTGCCCACCACTCTCGTTTCTTGTTTACTGACCTAAAAACAACTTCTACTAATATACTCTGCATTTTTCTGGCCTTAGCTTCTCAGCTACTTTAATATTTTCTTTCTCCTTCATCTAAAACACCTTTAAACTCTATATTAAAATATCTGAAAAATGACTTCTGACATCCCCCTTCGTATTTCACATTGAACTTGTTCAGAGTAATTTTATTGTCAGTTAACTTTCACTTTCCTTCCTAGTCTCTACTTTTTCCCCCCTGGCCAAGTAGGAGCAACACTTCTTTTCAGTTTCCTGCACAGGCACCTGAGAGTCATCTATGATCTGTCACCTCATTCCTTTCTCTTCATTGATTCCTGTCATGGCCATGCCCTAGAGAAAGCTCTGCTCCCCTCTCTTCTGCTCTGCACTATACTAATTCCAGGAGTTCTCTTCTTAACCTCCCATACCCACTCTTGTCGGTTTACTCTGTAAAACCTTCCGTAACAAAAAAACAGACCTTGACTCTCTCATTTTGGAGCAGTTGCACTTTCCACTGCAATACAAACACAGTCCTTGTATCTGCAGCAGGCTAACTTTTGCTTTCTGGATCACCAATTTATTACAGAGCCCTTTATTTACAAACAGTCAGAAAGAAGGGAAACACTGGACAGCGTGTGGAGAATGAGTATGGAACTTCCCGGCCTGCTTAGGCAGACCACTGTCCCCAAACTCAGCAACACTTATCAAACTCTTCCTTTTTAAGTTTTTATGGTAGCTCAACTATAAAAGCATGATTTATTAATCCCTGACAAGCAGCAATCAAATTCATCCTGAAGCCTCCCTCCCTTTACCAGAGGTCCGGGGGAGAGACAGGAAGTTCTCTTTCCCATTTATTTTTGTTTCCTTGGCAACCAGTCCCCAATCAGCCCACATTTTCAACTGCCTCCTAAATATTACCTTTATTACCATAACACAATGCAACATTACATAATATGACACCCTACAACATAATAAACAAGAAAATA